TAAAAAATATTGCATGTCAAATTTGTGATACTTTTCTGTAGCTTTATTTAAATTGAAAAAATGCAGATTTCTTAGAAAATATCTAATAAATATAATATACATCGAGAAAATATGGTTCTAGTTTTGTTAATCTCCCTTTAGCGATGTACTTTGTAGGAAAAATATAAGTCATGCAGGTTCTGAAAGAAATATTGAGGTGTAGTTCAAGTGTAATCTTTAATTGATGATTTTGTTATTTTGATAGAGAGCAAAAATTGTATAAAACATGTGTATGATAATTTTTGTGCGTAATTGTTTTCATGTGTAGAACATAGGAAAAATACCAAATCTGTTGTTTAACACTTTTCATAGTACAAAAGTATTTTCATGTAATTATCAACCATAGCTTGTCATTTTTTGTGTAGGCTATTTTACTTATCCAAATGCCATGAAAATTTTATGGTAGTCTACTTAGAGTAGTACTATACTACTGTAATTTTATTAGATTTTATAAAGCTTTTCAGAAATACATATGTTGCTATTTGTAGCCTAGTTTAAAATAGAATAAAATAATCCCCTCTTTAATGCAGTTTAGTTAATAATGTTCGCTTTGGTGTACCTTTTTGAAGCATCTTAGTTTGCTGTGGTGATTTGGCATGTTAGTACAGTGGTTGTCGTGTAGATAGTAGCACATATTCTTGGATGATGTTGACTACCTTGTAGAAGAGCTTTGCTACTACTATGTCAATAAAGTTAAACATGTTCATCTACATTTCATGCATCATAGTCATTGTTATGTCATCTCTCGATGCACCTATGCATTAGCACTTATACATCTGCATCATACGGGATCACGGGAGGAGTTGCTAGTAGCGATTCGAGAAGAAGCGGGCAGACGGAATGATCCATAAGTCAGGAGAGCACGGGAGGTCTGAGGAGGAAGAGGAGAGGCAGGAGAGGACTTGCCGGTCTGCGTGGATCATCATTCTAGTTCGTTCGAACCGAGGCAAGCTCGAGCATTCTAAGTCTCCTACTTTATAAAAGCAATTCTTTTCTATATATCTCTGAGCTTTATATATTGTTGCATTAAGTTATAGGAGTTGATTGAAACTGTTGATGCATTTATTATTATCCTTGCTTACCTTATTACCTTTTTGTACCTCAATTAGGTCGTGGATCGAATAAACCTGCTAGCCTTGCTTAACTCTGGTAACGATCGGTGATATCCTGGTCACCTACATTATAGGTGGTTACGTTCTTTGGAAGAATTTAGCTATGGAAAGAATGATATCCACAGAATTAACCATGTGTGATGAATAATTGGAGACCGGACGGAAAAAAAGTTGGAGGCAACGTAGGCGGGGTTCTAGGGAATTGCTGTTAGTTTCCGTCTGCGTTTATTACAGAACCGATCGTTGCTTTCGTCCCTCTTGTCATGTTGAATGCATGCCTCACATTTAGTTGGCGAATAAAAGTACCTTTTCACCATGAAGCTAGTGACACTATTTAAGAGCAGGATAAACTTTCGGATCTCGCATGATTGGTCTTTGAAGAGAGGTATAGCCAGGGGACGAAGAAGAGTGAGCCCAAGGTGCGTCTGGCGCGTCGGGCGGTCCACTGGTAGTCACCAGTCCATGGCTTATTATTCATGGCTGGCTACTTGAAAAAGTGTCATTGGTGATCTAAAAAGAATACTGACGGAGAGCGTGGTTTATTAATGAGAATAAATCACATTTTGTGGTTAGGGAATCGATTCGAATCGCCGCCGGCTCTGAATACCGTGAGCACTTGACTAAAACTACGGTATCGTCAGTAGTATTATGGAACAATGATGGTTACTCTGGATGGTATGGGATATACTAAATCTAAATTAGTAAGCTGGATGTTATTGGTTAAAATCAAGTGATTGCTATAAATGCAGTGCTTACCTGAGATGAATAGGTTATAAATAAAGATGATGCAAAGTATTTAAAATGATGTCTTCATGATAGCTTGTGCTTTTACATAAACAAATCATTATTAACTAAAAAAAGCCTTGCATAAAATCCTTGGTGTAATAAGCTTTATTTTGGTTTAAAGCCAGGTAAATCTAGCTTGAGTACCTTCTCGTGCTCAGGGCATTGTTCCCATTGTTGTTGCGGATGGTCAAATATACTACGGCTGTGCATTAGCTATGCATGCCTTACGGCGATGGGTGACAACTAGGACCAAGGGCAATGGTCACTCCATTATCTCTCATCGATGCTTTTGTTGGAGATGACTACCTCTTGGCATTGTATCCCGAACTAGAAGTGTGTGTGGCTTTAAACTATTTGCTGCCGCTATTTCAATTTGAACTTGGGTATAATAACTTTATGTTCTAAACTTCTGATGTATCCTTTGTGATTCACGAACTTTATATAGCGATGTGGCGGTATTTACTAAACATGTACGATCTTGGTTTTTCCCGTATATCGATTGGTTTATGAAATCGCCAGGTGGTTTCACACCGTTCTTAAAGGTTATCTGAGGCTTAAGTTTGCTAAGTTATACCTTAATGGGAAGATTTTTTCTTACTTAATCTCGTATATGGTGGTAGGATTACATTACATGATTAGAATCTACTAAATTGTTGGATAAAATAGATACTTCTAACTTTTATGAAGATTTTTATTGTGATACTCTGGGTGTATAAGCTAGAGTATGTGAGTGGTTTTCTACATTGGCTCTACCGCAATAGATACCCGATGATAGCGGAATATAATGAAACAATACAGGACGGATGGATGTTTGATTTATGTATGTATGTGTATGTATGTGTATGTATGTATATGTATGCTATATACTCCTCGCCTATTTAGCTGGAGTAGAAGATGTAGTGAGTAATATAACATACTCCATCCATTTTCGAAAATAAGCGCATATAGCTGACTACCGCTTTTCCAAAGGAGTGAAAGTTTGTTAAGTTTAACCAAGTGTATAGTAAAAATAAAAATACTATATTTATGATTCACAATGAGTGTAGTAGATTAATGGTGGCATGTATTTTTCATTCTATTGAGTTAGAGATGTAAATGTTGATATTTTTCTTATCCTATAAAAGTTAGTCAAGTTTTAGCAATTTCTCTGAAAGCGAGATGGATGTAATGCCTTATTTTGGGGAGTGAGGATTATATAACATGTGTTGGGAAGCTGAGGTTGGTCGTCGTCGTCTATTATCAATGTTTTTTTTTTTTTACGACTGTCGTCTATCAATGTCTGTAAGGATCGGAAAGCAGAGAAGGAAATAAGGTGCCCCAGCCGATGGATCCTATTTTGTCTGGACAGCTCGCTAGCTGCACAAATTGTGTGGTTGGGTAGTACTTGATTTGCGTAGGAGTCACGGTCCGAGGAGTTAAATACTCGCGAGTGATCCTGTGTATCGCCTATGACAGTTGCAGGTCTTGACTCTTGACGACTGTACTAGTGTGCACGTTTGCCTTCGGCGTGTTTGGATTACAGGAGATTTGGAATTTGGAGGCTGCGTAGCGTTTTCGTTTTTATTTGGCGAATT